ATCTATCAGGGACTTACCCTTAGGTGTGAACTGTCGGGGTTGTGTGATAAACCTGTATGTAGGTAGTGTTTTGAGGAACCTCCCCCCCAAGGTGTCTTCCCCACGGTGCGTCATTTTACGTTCCCGCCAGCTGCGCTCAAGGGCCCTGTTCTCCGGCCTCAGCCACACCTGTTATTTTTCTCTTTCATTGTAGCCAGCAAGGTTAAAAAATACTAATTTAAATAAGATTATCCAAGTAATCCCTGTCCATGGCACAAATGTTAAAAGACAGAGAAGCACTAATAGGAGGACGAGGAGACCAACGTCCTGCAATTCTACCATCTGGAAACAGTGGCTTGTTTTGTCACGAACCCCTTTCCTGTCCCCCGCACGCGGGTAGCAATGTGGACATTCATATCCACATCCGGCAGCTTCTCATGTAATGATAGAAACCTTTTTCTATGCCCTAATTATTTGAAAATGGACATTTTTTTGTTTTTTAATTTTTGTAATGCATTTTATTTTTTAATTTTGTACCTATTTCACATCATTCTTATTGCACACGGCATGCTTTCTCCTCCCAGGCGTCGTCCCACAGGATTCCCCCCACCAGCTCACTCGTGCACCATCGCCGTGGTCCCTTGTGCTCTTCCCCCCGTTTTGATCGCTCTCCCTCCGCCTCCCCCGCAGAGTGTCTCTGATTTATAGTTGCCTGCTATTTTTTTATTTATTATCATTTTTTTCCTGATTCCTTATTTGGCTCCCCTGCATTCCTCCTATAAGTGAAACCATCGATATTTTTGTTTTTATTTCGGGCTTATTTCACTGAGCAGGATCCCTTCCAGCGCCACCCATGTTGCTGTGAAAGGCATGAGTTTATCTGTTTTGATTGCTGAAGAGTATTCCAGAAAATGGATATCTTTAAAGGCCTCCTGCCCTCAGGGTGGACCAGGGTCTAGCTGGTGTCCAGTGGCTCAGCATCTCCTCCCGTTTTTCACTGCTCTGGCACCAGCCCACCATGACTCCTCTTCCGTTTCCCGTGTGCGCTGCCTCCCTGCCCCCCGGGCGCTCAGAGCCTGTGGCCAGCGCCGCCCGCCCGCACAGGCGCCACTGGAGGCTGGGACAGGCCTGCCTCTTCTAGGAGACATCGAAGTAATTAATCTTAAATTCTCTGCCAGCCACACGATAAAAAGTCGAGAGACAGGTGCCATTCATTTTAATTATTCTGCCCAGTAATGTTGAAAATATCTGCGCATGTGATCAGCGCAGGCCTTTATCAGGGCCGTTTGCCTTCCCGGTCCAGGTCTCAGAAAGCCGGTGTATTTTCCACTTGGGCACACCCGAGTTTGAAGTCACTGCTTCTGAGGGCTTAGGGGCTACACATCCCGCTGCACAGAGATACTTTCCGTTGAGGCTTTTGATATCCTGTGGCAAGTCCTGCCACCCCCGCCCCAACCCCAAGTTTCAAGGATTAAGCTCCCACCAGCTGCGGGGTCGGAAGGGTGTGCGTTTCCCTCGGGTGGAAATCTAAACCCAAGAATAACAAGGTAGAGATGCCAGGCGTGAAGCGTGTTGGGGCCCCTCGTCTCCATGGCAACTGTGACCATAGGCCGGGAAGAGGGCGAAGAGTAAGGAGCAGGGAGCCCGGGAAAGCTTGTCCCAGGGACCCCCGAGTGGACGCAGACAGTGTGTGGCGTGGAGCAGGTGCTCCCGGAACAGAGCGCCCTCCACGGGGTGTCTGAGCCAGGGAGGGGTCTGGGCCCTGGGGCCCTGGGCGGCAGGCTGGCTTCGTTGCTCCTCTTGCCTTCAGCCGGACGGGCCGGGCCGGGCCGGGCCGGGAGGGTGTGCACACGAGGAGGGCAGTTAGCTGGGACCTCGCAGAGGAACCTGCTTCAGGATGATTTGCAGCGGACCTTGGGCAAGCCTCTGTGTCCCCGTCTCCGGAACGGGATCGAATCCCCCCCACCCGGGGGCACTGGGGAGGAGGTTGGCCGAGGCTCGGCACAAGAGGCACTGCCGGTGATTACTGATGTCCCGGCTGCGCGTGTAACACGTTTGAACGGCCCCATCCAGGCAGGTCTCATGCGCCGTGTGCCCCTCATCGAAGCGGACCCGGCAGTGTCCCCTTCATCACAGGGCTGTGCCACCATCTAAGTTTAGAACATCCTCACGCCTCCCCGGACATTCAGCAGCTATTAGCAGGGGACCCCCCCCCCGCCCCGCCCCGCTGGTCTGCTCCCAGCGCCCAGGTGGCCAAGCGGGGCTGCACAGGGCGAGCCTCCCCCGGCGCTGGGCGGCCCCTCGGCCTGGCTTACATGTTCCAGGCCCTCGTCTCCACCAGAGGTGACCGAGGCGCGTGCTTTTGGCTGCCGCTTCTGATTCTTTCTCAACGGCGTGATGTTCTTTTTACCCTTTGGGTTAGACCTGGAAGCTGCTGGTGATCACCCAGACGGAGGCGGCGTGGGCCGTGAGAGCGAAATGAAGCCACGTGCTCCTGGCCTCCCGCGTGGCTTCCCATTCTGGGCCTGCCTGCAGGTGCTGCGGCCGCGAGGGGGCCGCTCGCCCTCAGAGCCTCAGCTTGCTGCTCCGTGGAATGGGGCTCCCCCCCTCATGGGGCAGGACTGACTCTCGTGTGTCCGGGATATGGGCCAACCAGTGATTCATCAGGAACAATATTTTTGAAATCCCTCAGCTGTCCCATCTGGGACCATATTGTGTGCTTAAAATATTCATTACATGACTAATAAATATACAGTGTACATTAGAGAACATGGGGAAAATCCAGATGAATCAAAGTGAAACAGTCTTTTCTCCCAGTATGGAGGTAAATGTTATTGTCAATTTGAGGGAAATAAGTCCAGATTTAATTTTCTTTCATTATATACATTTTAATATAAATATTTTAGACATGTGCATATTTATAAAATATTTATATGTGTGTTATAAATAAGTGTATGTGGAATTTTATGTATTTTCCCCAATGGGGATGTGCTATTTTTGTAGCAAGCTGTTTTTAGACCACGTTAATATGTGGAATATATTTTGATATCAAATATACAACTGTCACTTTTAACGGCAGCAGACTTTTACATTTTTTAATAATAAGGTTTATTCATACAAGAACTGGGGTGTAGGTCAGAGGTGTGGGGGGTGAGAGGATTCACCAGAGACAGAGTGGGGAACAGAACAGGCAGACTGATGAAATACACTGCTGAGGGGAGCAGCGGGCGAGTAGGAGAGGTCTGCTGCGCCATGTGGGTTGCTCCCTGGCCGGGGATTGAACTCGTGCAGGAGTGGCTGCTGATGGCTTCATAGTGCTGAGAGTTAACCCCTTGCGCCACCACAGAGGTCCCCATTAGAGTCAGCAAACTTTTAAAATTGACTGGTCAAGTGCTTTATGGCGTGTTTAACCTGTTTGGTGGGCTCCTGGGTGCCGTGCAGTTAAGTAATTATAAGGAATGCAAAGGTGAACACACTTATTAATTCATCTTTTTATACCTGTCAGATTCATTTTTCCAGGATAAATTCCTGCCAAGTAGAATTACTGGCTTTTTCAAGTAAACTCTCCACTGCAGTATCGCATCCGAAAAGGGAATCGGCCATTGGCACAGAGCCGTGGTCTCCCCACGGACACAGCTGTGTCACCTGCATCAAGAAATAAAAGACTCTGATGCCCAGAAGCCCCCTCCTGCCCCTGTCAAACGACTACCCCTCCTCCAGGACAACCACCGCCCGACATTTTTTACAGCAAGGACTTTATTTTTTAGAGCAGTGTTAGATTTATAACAAAATTCAGAAGAAGGAACAGAGATCTCCCATGTGCCCTCTGTGCCGCCCCTCCGCACCCCCACCCCCCCAAATGAGCTTGCTCTGGAAGAAGAAGAGAAAAAGGAGCAGGAGGGCGGGGAACTGCTGAGAGGCGGTGGTGGGAACTCGCCGTGCCCAGCCTCGGTTGTGGGAAGTTCTTCCTGAACTATGTAAAGTCCCCTGAGCCCAGGATATTCTGGGCAAAGAGGCAGCGAGCGTGGTGCTTACGAGCAGGCTTGGAGTTGAGGCCCCGCCTCACCACTCGCCAGTTGTATCATCATGGGTATGGGTGCTCCGAGCCGCAGTGAAACAGAGCAAAGTGCCTTTTCATTTAAGGGGCAGCCTCGAGGGTGAAGTGGGGCGGGGCGGACGTGAGTTTAATGATGTGCATTTCATCGCATAAAATAAGCACTCACCTGGGGGCGGGACCCTCGTCAAACTTGGAACCCACGAGGGCCGGTCTTAGCTGCAGAAGAGGGTCTTAGGCGCAGCAGCCAGGCGTGATCGTGCACCCTCCTCTGCGTAGTTTTTCTAAAATCCCTAGGGCATCTGCACACAGTGAGTTCTTGGAAACCGCGGCTGTAAGCGGCGCGATGAAATCAAGTCCTTGAGTCACGCCTCTTCATTCACCATCAGCCGGGATTGTTTTTCTCATCCACATTTCAGCTGAAGGACGTTATTTGAAAACCTGCCACGTAGCCTCCACAGTCAGAGTTGCCTTTCTTGCCCTTCTGCGCGCCTTGCTCCACCACGTTCTCTGGGGGTTTCTCACTACACTTTTCCCAAATCCCTTCTGACTCCCGCCTGAACCACCTGTGTCCCTTCCCTGCCCCTGTCTCTCAGCAGGTGATGAGACAAACCCCTTTCTCAGCTAGGGAAAGGCCCGTCTTCAGGAGCCGGAGGGGGGAAGGCAGACAAGCAGATAGGATCTCGGAAGTGGGCCGGGCAAGGGAAATGTCCTGGTTCACCTTTGTCCCGTCTAGAGCTGTTGTCGGTGGCAGGTGTATGAGCCCCAAGGGAATCCGCACTCAGAAGCCATCACCACGAGGAATGGGGGATCCTTGCGTCTCCCCTGGCCCTGTTTAGTCCCAGCAGGACGCGACTTGAGAATGCATGGAATTGGCTGGAGAGGGGAAGCGGTGGCTCCTCTGGGAGCTCCTTGTTCAGCTGTCCATGACATCTGCCTTGTTTTCTTTCTTTCTCCTACTTTTCAGTCTCCTCAGACCAGATCGAGCAGCTCCACCGGAGGTTTAAGCAGCTGAGCGGGGACCAGCCCACCATCCGGTAAGGCCTGCAGCTGCCCCTGGGTGCTGGGCGGGCCCAGGCTCCTGGGAGATTTCTTTGCACTGCGCCTTTTTTTCTTTTTCTTTTTTTAAATCGATTTATGTCGTGTGTTTGTGTGTGTGTGTTTGTGTGTGTGTGTGTGAGACATTAGTTTATAGCGCAGTGTATTAGTCCATTGATCCCTTTCCCTGAGTGCTGGGTGGACTCCTAAGAGCCTGTGGGTTGCCTCATAGCCTCAGGCAAACCCTTCTAGAGAAGATGGTCTGATTCTTTGGGCTCAGAGAAGTATATCTAGAACAAAGACAAGGGCAGGGATGAAGCTAGTTGACTGCCCCTCCCTCATCCTGACTTCCTCCAAAGGCTCCTGAGCTCTGTGCTGGGCATCCCAGACACAGACAGAGGGCCTGTTAAATGCCAGGGCTATGCCCATTGCCGGGCACCCACAGGTGGATCAGGTCAGGGGCTTAGCCCTTCTCTTTCGAGCCTGCTCCCTGTAGGTGGCTAACTCCAGCCTCAGGCAAGATGGCGGGCAGCAGGCTCCATCACGGTGTGTTGTCTTTCTACTTTGTGTTTGTGACATTGACATTTTAGAAGGTGTGGGGGGGAGGCTTTTAGGAGGAGGGATGCCTTCCTCATTCTAGGAGTGCGTGATGAGTCTTAGGTGGTGGTTGAGTTTTCTAGAATGGGTTGGTAGGAGGTCCTAGCCATCAAGTGAGTCATCACGAAGCTGGCACGGAAGCCGGGAGCTGAACACTGGCAAGGAGATGCCCGGTGTAATGGCGGGCAGCGCTCACCCCCACGTGGCTCCCTGAAACAAGCATTCAGGGTCTCGCGGTGACAGTCTGGGAACTCTTAAACCCTCTTGTAGTCCAGGAGAAATGACCTTTGCAGCCAGCGCACTTAAATTTCACCTGGAAGCTGCCATGCCCACCGCCACCGTCCCTGTGTGTCTAAGCCAAGCCATGGAGTGAGTCCAGTGCGCTGTGTTCTCAGAGCATCTGTTTCCGGAGCTCGGGCATGACTGGGCTCAAAGTCCTTGTGGTCTCGATTGTATCCAAGGCAACCAGGACTGACCCCTTGAGTTCTATACACCTCACTCTCTGTGCCAAGGAAGGGGTGCTGACCCCAGCACTCAGCCTCCTGCGCACTCATTGGCTCTGATAGAGTCGCCTGCCTGAGTCTTAGCCAATCCCCATGGCTGGCTCTGTTTTTTCCCAGAGCTGTGAGGCAGTGGGGCTAAGCCATAGGTCAATGTCAGGGTGGGCGGGTGGACTGGTTTCCTGGGACCGGGGAACCCCCTGGAGCCCTGGGCTGAGGATGCAGGGTAGGGAGACAACCAGGCACCCGCTGAGATCCCAGAACCCAGACCTGGGAAGTGAGTCGCATCTGAGTTCTGCTCATCTTTGGCCCTGTGACTGCACATGAGTCGCTTTGCTCCTCTGAGTCTGTCTCCTCATCCACAGGGCACGTGTATTCATTTCGGGCTTGACTTGGGCACTAAAGATGAGCAGGTGCATGTGGGGCGGGACGGTCCTGCTCCGCACTGTGGCGCTGGCATTCGGGCATACCTTCCCGGTGCGGGGTTGCGTGGGCCTAGCCTCTGGGCACTGCAGTCTGACCCTGGGCGGGCTTGGCGGTGTGGAGCATGAGTGCAGAGGGGCTGCCATGTCACTGAGGCCCTGCCCGCCGTGGGGGTCTAGTGCTTGAGCCCCTGACTGTGAGGGCCGTGGCCAGGACACACTGATGCCGAACCGTGTGCCCCCCGCCGAGTGTGTGCATCCAGCCAGGGGTGCGGATCTCCCGGGAAGCTGCTGCAGCGGGTCTGGGGTGGGCCTGAACCCTGCATCTCTAATCAGCTCTCCTGGGGTGGTCGTTGGGCCCCAGCATCCAGACCGAGCACCCAGGTCCCCTGGGTCTGACCTCAGAGTCCTCGAACCTCCTCTGCTCCCCTCGCGCCTGCAGCCTCCACCTTCCGCCTCCCCCGGTGCGCAGGCGGCCGTGGCTGCTGACAGTTCTGCCTGGGGCCGGGCTCGTCCCAACAGTTGTCAGACATCAGTTGCAATTATCTGAGCGCGTTTACTGGGCTGCACAGCTGAGCGTATTACTTGAGTCTTATAAAACCTCAAGGGAGTGTGGTGGGGGCCCCTGAGGTCCCCATTTTACAGAGGGGACGGTGAAGCTCAGGAAAGCCACGTCCCGGGGTGCAGAGCTCGGCGGTGGGAGGTGCTGGGACGTGAGGTCTGCCTGAGGGAAGCTGTGGGCTCTGTTGACCTGCCTCTGTCTCCCCACGCTGCCCTCTGAGCACCGTTCTGAGCACCCTGGGTGGGCGTGTAATCCCCGCGGCGGCAGCTCCTATGCCTCCATCCCCTGTGTCTGCCGGGGAGGTGGTGTCGGCCGCCGTGTCACAGCCCGAGTGGCCGGCAGGAAGGAGGTGACAGACCACAGCGTCTTATGCAAACTGGCCTGCAGGAAGGGCCCGGGCAGCCTCCGGAACTGCTTTGCCAAATCCTCAGCTGCCTCCAGACCAGACAGCTCTGTCCCCTGGACCTTCTGGGCGTCCTCCCAGGGCAGAGGGCATGAGAGCCCTGGGCAGGGAGCTGGTCCCCAGCACCTTCCCCGCTCTGTTAAGGGGTCCCTGAGTAACCCCAGGCGGGGTCTTCAACTTCCCTGATCCGGGCCCTGCACTGTGGGGGGAGGGGGAAGGATGACTTTCTTCAGCATTTAAAAGGCTGTTCTTGAAAGCTGCCCAGGCTGTAGGGACATTTTGCCCCATGAAAAAAGGGGTGTGGGAGAGGAAAGGCTTGGCCTGGTAAAGAAAAGAAGAGCCAGGCTAAGCTTTCTTAAAAGTGGGGAAAATTTATTGCGCGCCCAGGCGAGCTTCGCGGACCCAAGGCGGGGGGCGGTGAAGTTGCGCCCACTGTGGGGAGATGTCCTTTCATAGGACCGGGAGAGGCGAGGCAGGAAAACTGGGTTGACGGGGGGCGGGAGGGGAACGGGTTCAGGTGGAACAAAGTTGATGTTCGCGGAGCCGATGGTGTCCGTGGTCCTGCTGTCAGGGCCCTCTTGTTTTTTCTGCGTGGGCTTCCTCATTCCTGGCCCCTGCAGCGGCCTGTCAGGAAGCACCCCCTTTGGCGCCGCCCTTTCAGAGCGGCTTATCAGGGCCTCGCGGGGAGCTGAAGAACACCAAGCACGAAAGGCCCCTTAACAGGGGCCGTTCAAAAAAAAAAAAAAAACTCCTACAAGGTGAAAACGGCCAAAATTGATTTCAGTTTCAGCTCACCTTTTGCTGGCCGCGAGAGGCCGGCCTGGGCAGGAGCAGCCGCATCACAGACTTATTTTTAGATCCCGCAGGCCCCAGTGTGGCTCGAGGTGCAGACACATGGGGTGCTGAGCCGCGTCCCCGCGCCACCCGCCAGATGCCTGTAGCGGTGACGCCAAAACCTGCCTCCTGACGTCTCCCAGTGGCCCGGGGGTTGAGGACCGCCTCCCCCGGCCTCTGCTCGGCACCTTTTTCACCAGGCCCCTGCGGAACCTCCCACTGCCCCTCTGCCTGTGTCCAGGCGGACGGTGTTGGTCTCGCCGGCTGCTGAGGCCAGCGCCGGGGCCGCACCTGACGCACAGAGACCGGTGAACACTCTGCGGTCCTGTTGTCGCCAGGAAGCAACAGGTGCCGGGGGGACGCCAGGGCCCGGAGCGGAGCAGCGCCGGCAGGAGGCGGGGAGGCCGGGGACACGGAGGATGACGGTGTCCCCAGCTTTTGAAAGGGGCATTTGTTTGGTGGCACAGGGACGAGGCTTTCCTGTCAGAATCTTTTGTGCAAAGGCGCGTGGAGGGCGGAGCAGATGGCCTGGCCAGACCGGGGAGTCCTCAAGAGCTTCCAGCCCGGACTCAGCGTTTCTCAGGCTCCCTCGTGACGCTGGCGCTGCTGGCCCAGGGACGGCACTTTGAGTAGCTGGGTGCTGCCCGGGAAGACTCACGCCAGTGAGACGTGGCTCCTCCTTCATGAGTCCCTGGGTCCCCAGTGTTGTGTTTTCCGGCCCCGGGTGGGAAATGCCCAAAGCTAAAGTGTGAGTGCCAGGAGTAGGGCCAGGCAGGGGGCCTGCAAGGGAGGCCCCAGGGCCCTTTCTCCATGGGCAGCCCTGGGCCAGGGCCCGGCCAGGGGGCTGCTGTGCAGGTGGAGAAGCTGGCTCGGAGGCCTGTGAGCCCTGGTGGTGGTCGGGGGCAGCCCCAAGACAAAACCCACAGAGAAACTTTTCATTTGAACTGAGCCTGACACCACCTTGCCTTGGGACTTAGGGAAGACCCCACTACCACCACCACCGTGGGCTGGTTACTCCCTCTCTTTAGAGCTGGGTGCTTGCCTTGTCCTCTTTCTGAGTCCCGGGAGGGGCCTGTCAGGTCCAGGCGGGAGTAGATGCCCCAGAAACTTCTCTTTTCTTCTCTCTAAAGTGAAAGCAGGCAGCCCGAAGGAAGCAGTGAGCGTGGGGGAGGGCCCGGAGTCAGAGCTGGCTTCTCAGCTCCTGTTAGCTGTGTGACTATAGCTTAGTCACTTGCCCTCTCTGGGCCTCGTTTTCTTGCCTCTAGCATGAGGTTCCCCAGCGTCGCCCCGCATGGGTGGTGGCTGCTGGACGGGCTGTGCCTGCAAAGCACCTAGCACAGCGAGGAGCCGTGGGAGGCGGGGCGGCAGGGAGAGTGGCCGGAGCCCGCGGGACGCCACGGACCACTGGCCTCCGTGAGTCAGCTCGGGCCCAGCCAGGTGACCTGCCCCTGGGACTCGGGGCTTGGGGGGTAAAGCTGCGCCAGTCCCACGCGGCAGCCTGGCTGAGCACCGTCGCTGAGCCGGTCCAACCAGCCCCGTGGGCACCTGAGGCGGGTGGGGAGGAAGGAAGGAAAGCTCCACCGAAACCAGCCTTTATGGGGCGTTCAGCTGTGACAAATGACAAACGTGGCCGGCCTGTGCAGGCGCTGGGCCCCAGGCGTGCGCCAGCCTTGTTGGACAG